ATTTCAACCCCAGCGTCCCTATTTGGGAAAAAATTAGTTGCTTAAAGGGAGTCTTTGAAAATACTAGTTCAGTGAATGTTCGGTACAGGAGAGGGTACTACTCTTTAAGTACTCAAGCGATGCTCTTGACATGCTTTCTGTAACTGGGTTTGGATTGGCTCACCTCGACTCTCTCACCAGTCTCTCTTGGTGCAGATAGCACCCTAAGGATGCTGGGGATGTATAGCCGAAGAAAGCAAGAAGGTATTCTGTCACTTGTTTTTTAGAACTTGTATTCTTAGTTTCTGCAAAATGACAACTCCATTCCGTTGTGGTTCTAGCTAACATGGCATTTCAGCCCCCCCTCTTGCCTTCTGACTGGTTGCTCCAGACCAAAAAGATTACATTCATTTATGTCTACAAGTTTCTAAAACCCCTTCAAGATACTGCCGATGTGGAGGGCTGTGTTGTGTGTGTGTGATCATCTTTCTTCAGATACTCACTCAGCAAGTATTTTTGAACACCTATGAAGTGCCAAACACTGCACGAGTTGCTTGGGATGTGAGAGAACCAGAAAAACAAAAAAAGATTCCTGCTCTTGTGGAGCTGTAGTCTAGTGGGGAAGCATTAGGGATACTGACAATTAAAAATAACGAAGTTGCATAATGTGTTACAAGGGAACCTGAAGGACCATCAGCACAAACCGTAAAAGGGAGGAAAAGGATTGGGTGGGCAGCCCGCTCGTGGGAAGGGTGTGAGGTTGGGAGGCGGGTCACTCTGGTAAGTAGGGTGGTCAGTGGAGGTCTCCCTGAGTGTGGCTTGAGCCAAGACCTGAAAGAGGTGAGGTCTTCAACCAAGCAGATGTCTAGGGAAGAGCATTCTAGCGGAGAGAACTGCATAGAGCAAAGGCCTTACGTGCTTGCATATCAAAGAAATAGCAAGGAGACCAGTGTGATTGAGGATGAAGCTGGGGGGGAAATGGAGTAAGCTTGGCTTTCTGCTTGCTGATCATGAGTATGATTTTTAAGCTTTTTATAACGCTCATACTGACGATAATTAACCCTTTAAAGAGATTTATGTTTGACATGTCAATATGGACACAACATAGTCAAGTAAAAATAAAAGCAGGTAATAAAACAGTATGTGTAGAAATGATTCTTTTAAATTTTTTTTTTTTTAATTTGAGAGACAGAGAATGAGAGACAGAGAGCATGAAAGGGAGGAGGGTCAGAGGGAGAAGCAGACTCCCTGCCGAGCAGGGAGCTCGATGCGGGACTCGATCCCGGGACTCCGGGATCATGACCTGAGCCGAAGGCAGTCGCTTAACGAACTGAGCCACCCAGGCGCCCTCTTTTAAATTTTTTTTAAAAAACAGACATAGGCATGGCTCTCACTTTCTACTTTATACAGTTGAAAAAATCTATCCCTTCACTATCATCTTTGGATTGCAGGCTTCTTGAAAACAGGAGATACGTCTTTGTGGCCAGACAGCAAGTAGCATAATGCCTCTGGTTGGTGGGGATGCTGGTGAGTAAGCCCTCAATATATACAGGATTTGAATTAATATGTTTAATTGTGCCTGTTTCTTGTTGAATATGGGTTTTTCTATTTCATTCCTGACATATTTCCTACAAACCTGTGCCTTTCTTTGAATTCCTTTGTGATGATTTGGAACTGCCGTTAGACTTTCCCATTCACAGACCTAGTCTACGTACCGTACAACACAAGGTTTAACCAACCAGCCTGGCTTCTTACATTCCCCTTCCAGGTCAGAAATACGGCGCATCCTCTGGAGCTTCCACTGGGGAATCTTTCTTCCCACTGAATTCTTTCCACTAGTTCTCCAACTTACTTAACTGTTGAAATGTTTTCCATCATCTTTAGATCATCTTTTTTTTTTTTTAAAGATTTTATTTATTTATTTGAGACAGAGAGAATGAGAGACAGAGAGCATGAGAGGGAGGAGGGTCAGAGGGAGAAGCAGACTCCCTGCCGAGCAGGGAGCCCGATGCGGGACTCGATCCCGGGACTCCAGGATCATGACCTGAGCCGAAGGCAGTCGTTTAACCAACTGAGCCACCCAGGCGCCCATCTTTAGATCATCTTGATACCTGTTTCGTACCTGCTTCAATTCCATCTGATGATGGCCATTGGGGTGGTCTCAAGATTCCTATCCAGGAGCATACTTATGTCGTAGATTCTCACTCCCAAGAACTATTTTCCAGATGTCTTTCTGCCAGTTTTAAACCAGTCCCTGCTTTAAAATGGCTTCGGTGAATGACCCACAGGAGCCATGCCGGTCCCTGAATTACCACATAGCTCCCTAGTTGAGAAACATCAAATGCTCCCTCCTGGGGTTCCCTTCGCACCCTATATGAACTGATCAAATATAGTTTCATTTGGCGCACTTCTGCTATTTTCATTCTCCAAATCCTAAAAATGCACCTACACTTTGACCGTTCAATAGTCCAAGGTGCTGGCACCGGGCCTCACTGTATTTCAGCTCGCTGGCTGGTGACACCTCCAAAAGCAGGGTGGCTGCAACTTGTGCCCAGTGTCTCCTGGATGCGTGACAGCTGAGTACAAACTCAAAGTTGGCCACATCTCAAGCCAGGTGCCCTAGTGTCTGCAGGAGGAATGTCCTCTGCCTTTGGCTGAACATATCGCTGTGTTAATTTTCCCTTTAGCACAATCCAGACCCTGCAACTCCTTTTGATTCCAAGTGGCACTGTACAGTCCTTCTAGTCCCTCTGTCCTCTTCTAATCATGTAAATTATCTGCCACATTGAATTGGTATTTACTAAAGAGAGCAACATAATGGACATTACCACCAGCAGAAAACCACTCCAGTTGGGGCATCAGGGTCACCTCCGTGCATCATCAGAGTATGACTCTACATTGTTGTCCTATCAGGTTACTAATGAAAGAAAAACCCTTGTTGGCAATTCCTCTCCCCCCAGCCAGGGCCTTCCTGTGCCTCCCATATGTGACATAGGACCCACTGGTACGGCGGTGTGCCTCGGGGGCAGGGCCAGGCAGTGGTCATAAATGAAACTGGAAGGCTTTCCTCCTCATGTTGTAGCAGGGTTTTTTGTCTTGAATAAAGGATCTCTTTACCAGCCAGGACCCCCGGAAGTACTGTTCTTGACCCCTGACCACAGACCCAGACCCTACAGGGTTTCCCCCGCCTCCCCACCCCCAGCTCCAACCCAGTGCACCACCCTGCTTACCCTTCAAGTCCTAGGGTGGGAGGGGGAAAGCAGGATGGAGTGCTAGTCAAGAGGATTACCCTTCCCCTACTCCATTCTCCCTTCTCCTGTCACCGATTTCTGACCGGCTGTCGATCCTATCAGGGGTCCATAAAGCGAGGAGGACTCTGGCCCGGGAGAGGGGGGTAGGGGTTAGGCAAACAGGCCAGGGAGGCAGTTGGTTGAAGTTTAACCACAATATTCTTGGTCTCTATTGTTTTGAGTGAGGCCCAATATTTCCACAGCAGGATTATAGGATCTGATTAACCATGTTAGACAACAATGCCGAGCTGGGATGGGCTTCCCCTTCCAGCTGCCAATATGAAAAAGTAAATATAACACCCAGATTTCAGAAGGGACTCCCAGCAGCCCCCAAGCCCTACTCCCCAATTCTAGCCCTACTTCTGTTTTGGGCCCCAAAGTGAGGGGAGGAAGAGTGTGGCACCGCATGCTCCTTTAACTCCTGGCCCTTGGCCCAGCAGGACAGGTAATCCTGGCACAATCTTCCCAGGTGAGTCAATGGCTGTGTGCTCCCCACACCCTGGAGTCCTTCCAAGGCCTCTTCCGGGTTCCCCTAAGCTGGCCCAGACTCTCAGGAACCCATGAGAGTTAGGTGTCGAGAGGCTAGCACTCATTCAAAGGGTCCAGGAGTGCAGAGGGCACAGCAGAACCTGCTGGGCTCCAGGAGAGAGAGACCGAGTGCAGGTAGGACTTAACAGCTTGGAAGAGCAAAGAAGCCATTGCTGGAATGCTTTGGTGCCATCTAATGACTTCATGCGAGCCAGGGTAAAGAAATGAGACCCCAGAGTTGAGGACCACCATAAAGCAAAGTCTTGGGAGATGGAAAAGTATTCCTCCAAGGGTCTGGGACAAAAGACAGAGGATAGCTGGGCTTCCAGCTCAAGGAGCAAGGGATGCCCTAGGTCCCTCTGCATCACACACATGCACACACAGAAGCTAACTCAGACTCTCCCTGTCTGGATGTGTCCCCTCAGGGTGGGATCTTCTGACACCCTGTCCGACAGAACATGGTGGGGGCGGGGAGGGTAGGAATAGAGCAATAAAGAGCCCACAAGAATAACCAGTAGCTGTTTCCAGAAGGTCATGGCAGTTCAGGAAAAGTCTCCCTCCAAAGTGGGGCTCTCTTCCCTTCCGACATTCTTCTCTGTAACTGAGTGCCCAGCATAACCCATTGGAATTCGGTGAGCTCTCGTATTTACTGATGCCAGGAACAGGGACTAGGAACCCAGAGCTGTAGGCTCTGAGGCCGGAGGTTTCCTGTAGTAGGTCACTACTCCTTTTGAACAGTTTCTTCTTCAGGAAAACTAGAATTAGAAAATACTTCAGGGCAGAGCTTAGGAAAGCATACATCCTGGGGCACTTGGCTAGCTCAGTTGGTAGAGCATGCAACTCTTGATCTTGGGGTTGTGAGTTCGAGCCCCATGTTTGGGGTAGAGATTACAAGAAAAGAAGAGAAGAGAAAAGAGAAAAGAACACATCCTGATCTTATAAAAACCCATTTGGTAGTATAATACCACCATGGTGATATTTTCTGAGTTAGGGTTAAAACGGACTCTATTCTCAAAGAATATTTTACTCCTTGAGAGTATGAAAGGATGAAAACAAGAGGCACACAGGAAATAGGTATACAACACAGGTGACATCAATAGCCCAAATAATGAGGGGGTAGGCAGAACAGACACAGAGCCGATTACATCATGAGGATGGGTTATTATTTTTTTTTTAAAGATTTTATTTATTTTTTAGAGAGCGAGCGAGAGAGAAACAGCATGAGAGGGGAGAGGGTCAGAGGGAGAAGCAGGCTCCCCGCTGAGCCGGGAGCCCGATGTGGGACTCGATCCCAGGACCCTGGGATCATGACCTGAGCCGAAGGCAGATGCTTAACCATCTGAGCCACCCAGGCGCCCCCATGAGGATGGGTTATTAAGAGGATTTTAGGTTCCCCTATACTCTTGGGAGCAAATCTTTCTAGTTTTGTAAATAGGAGAACATGAGGGACAGAATAATTGTGGAGAGAAGGAGATGCCCCTGGCGACAACATCCAGAACAAGACTAAGTTGTGGCCTTTTCCATCGCCCCTCCTCCTGCCGTCGCCAGTCAGAGGCTGACACGTGAGGCTCCTGCTCATCTCCCAGCAGACCAGGGCGAGGAGCGGGGGTAAGGGCTGGGGAAAAATGGGAGGTTTCAATGAATAGGAAGGCAAGAAACGGGAGTTCAAATGTACCACCAGATAAAATTAAGCAGCAGTAAGGGCTGAGTATTCAGGAGACTTGACCATCTCTCCTTCCCCCAAGTGCTCCCTGTAGGTGAAGTGCATCAGACCCGGGGGAAGGACGTTGGTCTGATACGGACAGATTCTTTCCTGGCCCGGAGCATAGGAGCACTGGTCTCTCTCTTTGTTACCTTACACTCTAGAAATTCCAGGGTGAGCTCCTCCGGGTTCAATGGGAAGATGGAGACCAGAAGCTCCTCTTTCCCTTCTCAATAACTTTTCTAGCCTTTGGAAACACTCCTTGATCTGGGAGACCGGCTGACCCATGACAGAGTGGAGAATGACCCTGGTGGGATTTTTTCCAAGGAGGCAGCTGCGGCACTGCCCTCAAGGCCCCTGGTAAAGCCCTCAGTCAGGCCTGACTGAAGGAGGTGCTGCCCAGCTGGAGTGCTAAGGGATGAAGATTTCTCTTCCAGCCCAGAGCTTGCCTGTCCCAGCTGACTGTGGGGGCAGGGGAGCCCCGCAGCAAGGCCAAGTAGGCCTTGCAGCCTAGGTGGCGCTATTTCCCTATTTTTAGGTCAAGCGGCTGCACGAACTTCCTCGAGGTCCCTAGTCCTGCTCCTGGTTTGCTGGCTTGCTCGTGTAAACCACCTTATATTATTTTTTTTTCTAAAAATACTCCAAAGCAATTGAAAGAGTCCCTTCTCCCACCAGCCAGCCCTGGCCCCAGCCCCGGCCCCGGGGAGCGGGCGGGTAGGCGGGGAGGTGGGCCACTGCTTTATTAAACACAGGGAAAACTAATATTTACGGAATAAAATTTATGGAGCAGCCACGAGAATTCGACCCTTTTATGTGCATGTGGGGTGGGGGTTGGGCCAGGCTGGGGGCCTTGGGGAGGGGCCCAAGCCAGGGGGCAGGGCTGGAATACAGCCTGGCTAGGCCAATTTGTCGAGGCAGGGATTTCCCTGGAGTTGGCCCAGGATTCTCAACCACCACCCGTAGCTCTGAGGGGCAAGAATACCCACCCAAGGCAGAGCCTCCGGGAGCAATGTTTCTCTAAGGATGTGTTTAGGCAAATCCCCACGGAGGTAGTAACCTTTGGGGTAATGGGGGCGGTGGCAGGGAGATCACTAGGCACGTTCTTACTTAACCTAATTTTTAAAAAAGTCACGCATTCTTTTGAGAACACGAAAATGTTATGCTCTTAGAATTTTACTCACAATTTTAGGGGATTCACAAACCCGAGCCCCCTCTGATTAAAAATGCATGCTCTTGGGGCACTTGGGTGGCTCGGTCAGTTGAGCATCCGACTCTTGATCTCGGGGTTGTTGAGTATAAGCCCCTCATTGGGCTCCACGCTGGGTGTGGAGCCTACTTAAAAAAAAATTAAAAATTAGAAAAAAAATGCATGCTCTTGAAACCGTGGTTTTAGCACAGAGGGATTATCCAGGGTGAAGAACGCTTATTTCCTCCCTCAGCTGGCTGGGGAAGTCTTCCCATTTTTTATGTGGTCTCATACCTCATCTATGCAGAAATCTGGCTGTCTAAATTATGCCAAAAAGAAACTAGGGAAGAAAGTGAGCCACCTGATAGATTGTTTTTACATAGTCCTCAGTTCACTTCAACGATAGTCTGGACGGTGGGGCGCATCTTGGGGTGCTGCAGTCTGGAGGCAGAGTTATTGGTGGTGACTTGGAATGAGCCCTGGGGGAACTCTCAGACTCTGCTGGTCGGTGAAAGCACGGGGGTCCTGGAGTCCTGAGAGGCTCTGCCGTGAGGAGCCAGTGGGAACCAGAAGATCCTGCTGAAAGGAGGCAGGTGCACAGGAGAAGGATGGTTCCAGCACAAGACAGGAAAGAAGGCCTAACACCCTTCCCGGAGAATGTTTGTCAGTCATATACACACCAATGCAGTTAAGAACTCAGAAGTCTGGGTTTAAATGCTGGCTGTTACTTATTAGCTGTGTGACCTTTGATAAGTCACTTAATCACTTCAAGACTCTATTTCCAAGCGGGTGAACAGTATCTTCTTCCTCTGATGCTGAGAGGATTCAATGTCAGGCACTTACCAGAGCACCTGGTGTATATTAACTGCTCAGTAACTGTTAGCTGCTTATTATTAGTGCTGTTCTTCTTATAATCATTATTATTTTATTATCACTTGGGTTGTCGTCTTCCCCATGACCTGACCTAAGGACAGAAACACCTGTCCCAGACAGAGAAGGCATGGGGATGAGGAGGCATTTGACCATCGTAAGTAAATAAACCAGGAGAGGCCTCCATGGGTTCTGCCCCGACTCCTTCCTCCACCTGACAGCTCCCAGGGAACATCTGAGTTCAACTTTCCTTCCTGTCTCTCCAAAGTAATGTTTCAGATGGTCTTACCTGTCGAGGACAACCTAGCAGGAAAGGCCAAGGGACTTTGCCAATCCTGGTCTGCTAAATCTTGCCTGATCTGCCTGAAGAGTTGACTTTCTAACGAAGATGCCGCCTATCTCATACAAACTTTGTCTTTTTTCCTGCTAAGGCCAATTCTGTTGTCTCAGAGAAATCTGTGGCCGTTCCTGCTCCCTGCTGGCCTGCCTTTTCAAGTTCTTCTAGTTGCCATGTTATTTGAAGTAGCATGAAGGATGGGAGAATAAAATCCCTTTCTCTCCCACTCCAATGGGAAACTACCTCAGCCCTTGTGCTCGGAGCTCTTTATAATTTCAATCCCAGATTGTGGTTTAGTCTGTTGTCTATGCCTTGGAAACAGACAAAAAAACAAAAAACAAAAAAACACCCTACATGACGTTGGGCAGAGGACAGCAGCAGTGATCTGTGCTGTGTTGTGCCCGCCACGGAGAGAGTTCTCTAGACCAATGTTCCCAAATGGAGGCTTAGCGCAGGCCACAACGAGAGAAGCATGAGAAGAATCTGAAGGAGCAGATCGAGGGCCTAAACTTCATCTAGAGACAACAATGGGTGGGGCCCAGTAAAGTGAAAGAGGTTGGTTATATGTTCCACAGAATAAGCCATCTCGAAAGCAGGGGAGTGTGAGTGCTTTTTATTCCGGGCTTAAGAGAGAAGTGGGTCTCTGAGGAGCTAGGGACTCTTGAGAAAGGTGGACAAGGCTTCCTGAGCACGTTGTGCCTTTTTTGCTGACTTGTCCTCTGCACCTAAAGTCCATGGTAGGATCCTGGGTCTGGGGAACCTCCGACAAAAGAGAGGAAGGTATGGGATTCTCAGAAGCTGGCTTCCACTCGGCTAGGGAAGGCCAACGCCCAGCGGGTGGGAGCCCAGATTCCCTGGGTTAACAGTACCCACGCCTGTCCGCGGGAATTTCTGTTACGTCAGCCTTGCTGTGGGGCCTCTGACTATGTAACCCCGTGCTGGAGATGCTGTTGCTACAGGAGCTCCTCTCAAGGTGACACGAGGAAACTATTCTCCAAGCCCATTCTCCGCAGTCGGGACAGGGACAGGTTAACTGAAGAGCCCCCTTAGCTTCTTCCTCTTGACCTTTGACAGCTGAGGTCTGTGCATAGGGCCTGAAGTACCCTAGAATGAAAAGGAACCCGAGTTAATAGAGGTGTTTGAACAGATCCACTTAGGTCAGGAGAGGAACTTCCTTGCTCCCATGGCCCTGGTGGGGATGAGGGGCTGACACAGGTGTTTTGAAGTCTCTGCCAGGCAGTGAATGTGACACAAGACTTCATGCCATGTGTACATCCCTTCTCCCCTAAGGAACAACCTCACAGACCATCACTGGAAGTGGGATAAGGAAGAAAAGGAGTCAAGGTCCTTCACTTAGTACAGGGAAGATGCAAAAGACCATGACTCCCCTATCTAGAAATCCGTCATCCGGTGGCCTGGTCACAAATATCCTCCAATATTAAGGCAGCACCTCCACTAAGTGACAACTCCAAGGACCTCTGGTTCGGGGGCTGCAGGTGTGTGACTCACTGGGGGCTCTTTCTCGGGCACTGGGAGGGATGGTGCTGGTTCTTCCGGCTGGTTCAGAAGTTGGTTTTCGGTCCCTTGTGGGGAGGCACTGCTTGAGGGCTGAGGATCTCCTGAAATCAGAAAGATCAAGGGAAGACAGTGATAAATGCCTTCTTACCAGGGAGGCATTAGCATTTAGCAAGCATTCTGATCAAGGCCAGGGTTTAGTACTAATATATAAACAGACAGAAGTAGCTGTAAATCCAACTTCCAGCTGACTCTCGGAAAGCCCTGTTTCTACTCTGAAGATTCCCCACTTTCACTAGGTAGGAGAGGAGTTTCTTTGACTCAAAACAGCCAACTACTCCTCAACAGACAGGTAGAGAGGTGAGTCTTTCTTCTGGTCCTCTCACTAATTCTTCTAAGCACCTAGACCAGTTCCAGTGGAAGTTTCTGCAATGACGGAAATGTTCCGCATCTGCACTGTCCGACTTGGTAGCCGCCGGCCATGTGTGGCTACCGAGCAGTTCAAGTGTGGCTACAGCAAATGAGGAGAGGTATTTTTCATTTTGTTTCATTTGTATTTAATTTAAATAGTCACAAGAGGCGAGAGCTACCATATTGGCCGGCACAACCCGACACCGTAACTCTAACCCCAGGGAGACCAAGTACCTTTGGAGCTACTCACCAGTGCCCTGATGGTTCTGTCTCCCTTGGATCTCTTGTCTGGTGACTGCCATATACAGATTCTGTAAATTCATGACAAAGGGCCTTCCATCACCTACGCTGCATGCCTCTGGTAGTTTCTATAGGGGAGCGGAGATGCAGTCATTGGTTATACTCTATCACCAGAGAAAAGGAGTTTGATATCCCACTGGCAGAAGTGGGATCAACCCCAAAAGAATTTATATAGAGAAGTTCGATTCAACATAGGACGTCCCTATCCATACCTTGTTGGGAACAGTATAAAGACCTCTCGTGAGGTCTTCTCTAATAGGCAACTCCAAATGTCTATCTTTAATTCCCCCAATACCTATTATGTTTTCCCATGAATACCCCTGGGGTATTCACCGAAGAGCCTCTAGGCTCTTTCTTCCAAAGGGATGACCTCTGAGAGGGCTGTTTTAGGAAATCATCTTTCCTAAATTGTCCCTGAGCTGTACAGATCACTGTTTTACTTACATTCACTCCTAAAGTTCCACACTAGAGAGAGAAAAAGGATGAAATGCAGGAAAGGGGAGAACAGGCAAAATGGGAATGACAGACTGAGAGACAAGGCTAAATTACGGAGCTATGGTGTTCAGTCGGAGGAGATGGGGGGACTAAAGTGTGCAAAGCTTTGGAGGCTTCCCTGCCATTTTACATTGCTTTACTGCAATCCATGAACCCACAAATGGGGGCAACCATTCCCCCAAGAGGGGAGAAAACTGGTTCTTGAGGGGTGAAAAAAATCTTATTCTTTTAAAGTATGAAACATCTACATACAGTACACAAACAGAATTTTGCTCTATCTGTGGTATTAAAATTTCCTGAGGGGGAGTGATTAGGAAAAAGTGTCTTAGAAAGGCTCCTGAGCAAGGTGATGATGGGGAGAAAGTTGAGAAATACAGCTATCATCACACTCTATGTACCTGTTTCCTTCGCTGTGAATGAACTGTGGATTTATATCCACAGGAAAATGCTCTGCCTAGTTCAAGTTTCAGGCACTTGGCTTAACGGCTGACGGCGGAAGCAAGTGCAGTAAAAATGAGATGAAGGCGTATGATATCCCAGGGTCCCGAACCTGGCTGCACTTCACAATTTTGGAAAGGACCCAGAGTTCCTTCACCTGTGCAGGCAAATCGTCATGGTTCCCAGGCAAGCTAGCAGGTCTCTGAGGGAAGCCATGCCACCAGCTCACAGGGCACCCACCCAAGAATCCTGGATGGACCCACAGCTCGCGTCAAGGGCACTTGCTCTGTGCTCTAAAAGGCATTCATTTCTGAAAACCCGCCGCGGGAAAAGGATGGAAGAGAGAACGCAGGAGAGGTTCTGCTCCTTCCAGAGAAGGATGGAAGAGAGAACGCTGAACCACAGTCAGGACTCTCTCTCCCTGAGGATGGAGGGATCTGAAACACGTGTTGATCCCCAGGAAATGCAGTATCCATTCGTACTGCAACCCTACCTCTGTAAGGTCTCTATCAGGCTTGCACTTTCCCGGGAGACCACCAATAAAGTCAGAACTTGGCTTCTGGCCAGCAATCACCGCAGGAGTGAAAGGGCCCTGAGGAGCAAACTGAAAAGGGGGGCAAACTCTCAGGCCATACACCTTGACCTCCCCTCACTCTCCTTAATTTCAGCTTCCCCAAGCCACGTACTCCGAAAACATGTCCTCTGCTCTCCAGCCAGACAGCCCTGACAGCAGAGAGGCCAACAGCTGTTCTCCTTCCTCACCTCTCCTGTCTCCGGGGCCGCCCTTCAGATTGCTCACAAAACGTGGCCTCTTTCAGGCTCCGGCACACAGGGCTTGCTAGGCCCTGCGCTCTCTCTACAAACGGGTGGGGCAGAGTCTCAGTGGTCCCAGCTCCCTGCGCCCTCCGGCCCCGCCTGCCCCTTCTGTGGAACCAGACAGACTCTTACGTTTTTTAGGGCAATCTTTAGCCAACTCCTGTACTGAGTCTCACAGTGAAGGGGCAAAAATGAAAGGCAATAAAGCCAGTGCTGTCCTGAGCCTAAGTCCAAATACAGAACCAGTATCTTGGACCTTCCTCCATCCTTCCCTGTCTCCAAGAGATCTGGTCCTGCTGTTGTTGCCAAAAGTTATCCCACCTGAGTACTCTCAGAAAAGTACCACAAAGAGAATATCGGGGGCTGCCTGGGCGGCTCAGTCGGTTAAGCGTCTGCCTTTGGTTCAGGTCAGGATCTCAGGATCCTGGGATCGAGCCCCATGTCCTGACTCCCCGCTCATCAGAGAGTCTGCTTCTCCCCCTCTCTCTCCCTCTCTCTCTAGTAAATAAATAAAAATTTTAAAAAACAAAAGAAAGAATATTGGTACATTTGCTGCATATTTCCTATATGCTAGACACGGTTCTAAGAATTTAAATGTATTGATGCATTTTGTCTTATTCCCTGCTGTCTCCCTGGCACTTGGACTCAAGTAGGGCTCTATAATCAACCATGAATGAATGAACATGGTTGGCACTGGTATGACCCCATTTTACTGAGGTGGTTCCAACTAGTAAACAGAGCAGGATTAGAATCCAGACAGGCTGACCTCAGGGCCGACGCATATAATGACCACCCTATTTACTTCTCTAAATAGCAGAATTTTAGTCCCAAGGGCCATACAGCCTTTCCCAGGATCACAACCATCTGTGCCTCCCATCACAGATCACTTGCCTCAATTCCCATCCAGCTCAAGAACAAACTCCCTCAGGTGACAAGAGAGAAGTGAGCAGAGAATCTGGAGGTTCAACCTGAAAAGCTGGCCCCACCTGGAACCCTCAGGGGCTGAGGCCATCCCTCAATCCTAGTCCAGCCATTCCCATCATCACTGATTCCATGCGCATTATCCTTACAATATGCAAGGAAAAGGAGGTGGAGAGGCCCGGGCTTGGGAAGGAGAAACATTAGCTCCCTGTGCAGGACAATGGCAGGGGCGAGCTGGGGCAGGCCACCGAGATCAAAGGGAGAACAGCGGGGTCAGGACTAAGAAAAGCAAACAGCAGTACCCCCTGCCATAAGTAAGAAGGAACCAGGAGCAAGGTGTACCAGCCACAAAGCGGTTCACTGCCCAGAGTGGGGAGGGGAAGAAGAGACAGGTCGGTCTACTGTGGAATGCATTCATCTGATTAACCCAGAATCAATTCTACGCAGCAAAAAGCTACTGAGATTCTACCATGTGTTAGGTACTAGAGGACTGGGGCGAGGGAAGGAGATGCACCCTTCCCTCCTCAGAACGGGGCTGAGTCAGCCAAAGATAAATAAGTCAGAGTCCCTGCCTCAAGGAGTTGATATTCAGGTGGGAGGAGCAGGCAGATTTCAGGTTTTTTCCAAGTGTTACGCTATCACAGAGTTAGAAACAAAGGGTAATAAGAACTGGAGAAGAAGAAAGGAAGGAATTCTGACCATCCAGCAAAAAGCCTGGGGCAGGATTGGGGGTGGTGAGGGGATGGGGGTGACATAGGCCAGCCTTGCAAATGTGGGGAAGTATTTGAATCACAAAAGTGTGAAAAGACAGGATACACTGATGTATCTCATGGGAAATAAGACCAGAAGACTAAGTTCATACCCGCCAGATTGCTAAGGGCTTGGTGTTCTAAACTAAGGATATGCCCCTGGAAGTTTCCTTTTGTTTCACAAAGTGGCTTTCTCTACTACACCCATGCTTGCCAAGGCTTGCTTGGCTCTGAATGACTATTGAATCAAGGGTGAGGGGTCAGAAGCATCCTCTGGGTTTGCCTTCATAGGCTTTCTGCTCCATTTCGTACCTCTTCACTAACTGAACTGCTAGACCGTGACTCTTCAGTAGGCAAAACAGAGCTACATTTCTCTCCTATCTCCAGTTCACTGGGACTTTGGCCCCTGCCATCTGGCCGTATCAGGAGCTTTAGGAAAACCAAAGCTACAGAAATCCTATAGGGCAGGGACGCCTGGGTGGCTGTGGGTTAAGCGTCTGCCTTCGGCTCAGGTCATGATCCCAGGGTCCTGGGATCGAGTCCCTCAGCGGGGAGCCTGCTTCTCCCTCTCTCTCTGCCTGCCACTCTCCCTGCTTGTGCTCTCTCCCCCTCTCTCTCTGACAAATAAATAAATCTTAAAAAAAAAAAAAAAAAAGAAATCCTATAGGGCATTTTATTTCCCCTTCTTTTCCTACTGCAGCCCATTTCTGTTCCTAGTGCCCAAACTCCCCCTCTTTAGTGGAGATGTATCTGTAACTTCCATCACCACCATGAGGTCTCAAACTCACTCCCAGTGGTCCAGAAATTCCAAGGCTCCCTCCTGCTCACTGACCCCAGCAGGATCTGCTGGAGAGATCCCAATTATTGCTTTCCATTAGAAATAAGAGGTTGGGGCACCTGGGTGGCTCAGTTGGTTAAGCGACTGCCTTTGGCTCAGGTCATGATCCTGGAGTCCCTGGATCGAGTTCTGCATTGGGCTCCCTGCTCGGCGGGGAGTCTGCTTCTCCCTCTCCCACTCCCCATTTGTGTTCCCTCTCTCGCTGTGTCTTTCTCTGTCAAATAAATAAATAAACTCTTAAAAAAAAAAAAAAAAGAAATAAGAGGTTGATGGAGCGCATGGGTGGCTCAGTTGGTTAAGCGGCTGCCTTCAGCCCAGGTCATGATCCCAGGGTCCTGGGAATGCATCCTGCATCGGGCTCCCTGCTCATGTGGGAAACTACTTCTCCCTCTGCTTCTGCCCCTGCTTGTGTGCTCTCTCACTCTCTCGCTCTCTCACTCTCTCTCAAATAAATAAATAATCTTTAAAAAAAAAAAAAAAGAAGAGGTCAGATGTCCAGCCCTACTCTCCCCCCCCCCCCCAATTCCATCCCTCCTTTCCCTGAGGCTGTTTCAGAGGAGAAACCTTTAGAATTCTGAGTAAGGAAAGGCTGGACCCTGGCGTACTGCTCGCCCTACTCAATATGAGCCCATGGCCCAGGAGACAGGTGTAGGGGACAAAAGAGAGATAGGAACCATGCAAGCCGGAACTCCCCAGCGTCAGCCTTGAGCAGGTCTTTGGGGCGGCCCCCAGCTGCCTTGGTAGAACATCCAGCCGGGCAGGGCCCCCAATACACAGCTTCCAGAGGGTAGGAGTCCCTCTCCTCCCTCCT